CCTATCCTTTCATACCTGAAGCATGAAAAAGGTGTCCCTTTCTGACAGCGCCCTGGCATAAACCTTTCCCAGGCTTCTAATTTAAAGCAAATACACTAATTCAAATCTACTCGTTATTAAGGTCCAGTAGTCAGATCATTGATGCACTGTATTTCCTACAGTCAGGGCCATAGCCAGTATGAGGCAAACCGAGGCACTTGCCTCAGTCATTTAAGGTTTGATCCTGACAGTGTTTTGTTTCAACGTAGTCATCATAAAGACCCTGAATAGCTAGGCGGGGAATTCAACCATGGATATTGCCTCAGTCCTTATTATTTTCTGGTTACGGCCCTGTCTACCGTCATAAAAATTCCTCTATAAACTTATGGGACAGTATCTTAACAAGTGGTATTCCCTTATGCACAGCAATAAAATACCACAGGGTCCTTAAACTAAAGATAACACCTATAAATGAGAACTATGTAGTGGTTGGATGGCTGTAAATTCATCTTCATTAATATTACATGATGCTTCCAAGCTGCATTAGGGAACCAAATTACCTCATTGTACGTTGGTGTAAAATATTGTGTTTTTCAAGGGTTGTCATACATATACTGCAGGGTTCTTTCTATATTTCCGACAATATTGTACTGATTCTAGAATATTAGGGGCATATATCATACGGGACTTATTTGTTGTAGTTTTGACTGACCACCTAGAGATGACCACATCTCGATGGTGGGCTTCCTAAAAATGACCACATTTTGAAAACCTAACAGCCAATACTACAACAAAATATGGTGAAACTGCTCACAATTTTATCTGAACATTAACTCAGCCGACAAATTTATGAAAGGCTATATGCAGAAAAACATTACATTAAAGGACTAGAGAAAATCCAGAAGGCACTTTAGAGAAAATTAGAACCCTTATTCAGCCGTAGTAAAAAGCTTTATGCTTTAAAAGAGGTCAAAGAAAATGCTCTTGCATCAGAGGACAAATCCTGCCGACCAGAAACAAAAACCACAGTAAATCAATATGTGTTCCATGACCTCTCAGTGTGAAACAAGAGGCAAAAATCACATTTGTTCAGTGAAATTGTAGAACCTTCCAGAGCATAATCTACCCAGCAGGGGAAAAAACTTATTGGAACGAGCAACATTTTGGTAGGAGGTAAAAGTTGTTTTAATAGGCCTACCAACCAACCCCTTTTATTGCTGTGCGCACGATAAACATGCTATGGCGGATCCCATGCCAGCCACGATAGAATCAGGTAAATCCCACTATTTACAGTAGTGCGATTTGAATACCCCACTCAATGCATGAATCTTCCATTATCACCCAGCATGCAAAGAAAGTAGTGTCCGATAGCCCGGGGCTAGTGGATTTTGCTCTCAGACTAGTGAGTTCTGTTATTAACTTGCCCGATGGGCAAGTGAAGTTTTTTGAGGAATTCAAATTACAGAAGTACTGTCAAATCAATCTGCTCATCAAACCGTTTTTGGGGCTAGTTAAAATGATGTTTGGGCTAGTAAAATGTTAGCTTCAGCTGTAAAAATGACTTTCTTTGCACCCTGTCACCATACTGATAGGAATCTAAGCAAGTGCAAACTCTGCCGCCATGTTTGTGCAATATGCACGAAGCACGATGGACTAAAGAGCCACCCACCCGACAAAGTCTTCTATTGTCTTGACCCAGGGAGGCTCCCTGGTCTTGATCAATGATCACTGAAGCGTGAACGAAAATTCACAAGTTGTGTTGAAAATACACATGGTTGAGTTTGAAATATGACTCGGTAAGTGGCAAAATGCCCTGAGTATTGGTTTAGGCATTCAAGCTTATAAAAAGTAGCAATATTGGAAAATTTGTCTGTTGTATAGTTTTATTCATAGCGCCGAGTTGAAAATTGCATGGTTCTACTATGTAATTTGATGAAGCGAGTTGAAAATACACAGCGAGCAAGGTCAAATAGAAGAGTTGAGTTTAAAAGCTAAGGGACACAAGCATAAAAACGTTTTCTTCTAAAGGAAGAGTGTAAAATTTTGAATTCAGCTATAAAATTCAAGTACCGAGGTTAGAGATTTAAATGATGCATTTAAAATTGAAACCATGAATTTTGGCAGGGATCGTATGCCATAAGCCTGACTTTGTCTCTACCCCCTGGTGTGCACCAAGTATGATTTCTAAGAGGAATGTCAAACTGTGTTCCATGCAATTCTGTGTTTGTCCTTGTTTTCTTGAAAACAATGCATAATGAAACAACTATTAGAATTGGTTTTTGTGATATTTGGAATAATCAAGGTCTCAGTAAGTGTTATCAGCATCAGCTTTCGGCTCAGCTGATGTCATTTAGTCAATCCTCTCCCTTGATTATTTCTGGATATCACAAAACCTCATCCCACACCATTTATTGTTTAATGTTAACAAAGTGAACTAAGACTGTGGTGGCACAGCCCCTGTACATTAATTTGTAAATACTCAGTATCCTACATTTCAGTGGGAAATTAAGGCAGCAGTGACAGTTAAAAGTAATTAAGTGATGAGAACTTCATTGATTCCTGATTTTCCTTTCAGTACTAGGCAAACATCTTAGGAGCACTATGCAATATTGTGCAGGTTATAATTAGTGACGCTGGGGTTGAGGGGTTTGTACGAGAAAATAGAAGAAAAGTCAATGTTACTGAGAATTTGTAATTACATGTAACAACAAGTGCTGAAAAGAAAATAGAATACCTTATTATTTATTTGATAATTAAAAGTGCTCAACCTCAAGTAACTGCCCACCTCCAATAACCCTCCACCTTATAGGCAGAAAAAAATGAATTATCTCCTAACCTCGCATAAGTGCCTACCCCATACCAGCTAGATTGAAAAAGACTAAGTTCTACTAAATTAAGAGACCAAGTTTTCTTAGTACAGTATTTTAAAGAAATTTTCAATGAACCGTTAAAAATCTGCTTTGGAACTCAAACAAAATTACTCTATCTCCAACAAAATTACTTTTGGTGAAAACTTTGAGAATTCATTAAACACCCAGCCCAAATACACGTATTAAAGTGACCAACTTGAATAATAACCCACTCTCAAGGTGCAAAACTTTAGTGAGCACCCAGGCAAGGCACTTAATCAAATAAATATGGTATTTTGTTTTGGGACCTCTTCATTGGAGTGGTACATGCCGTCGCGTTTTCCAGTAGGTGTAGTGCTTGATCTATAAACACCCAAGCTGTTTTACGAAAACTGCATTGACAAAATAGATTTGCAATTATTGAGAATCTATTTTATACCAATACAGCATTACATTTCATTTCACCCTTCATTAATTCGGCTTTGCTTTTTCAAAAACACTGTATCGCAGCTCCATGGCCAGGTTTTGTCCAAATTACCTTTAGTTAAAATTTTTTGTGCATTTAAGATAGACAATATTATTTTGGACTACTGTGCAAATTAACCATTTGAAAAAATAATGTATGAAATAGCTGTGTACGTATGATCTGAAGATAGTTTATCTTCAGTGTATATGTAAACTGCTTTTAATAGAGCTTTTTACCGATACAGCAGCCATATTTAATTAATTCGATTTAAGGAGTATTATAGGATGCCCTGGGGGCATGAGCACATTTAGTTTGTATTTTGTAGTGCTTTTCAGGACATTTTTTCGTAAAGTTTTCTTAGAATAAGATTGTGATGGGAAAAAAGATTCTTGTGCCCTGTTTGGATGTAATAATGATCGCCTTTTTCTAGTTTAGCATTAGAAATATGGTCTTTCACAGTATATTTCTCGGGAAAAAGGTGATCATGATTACATCCAAACACGGCACAAGGATCTTTTTTCCCATAAGAATCTTATTCTAAGAAAACTTTAAGAAAAAAATGTCCCGAATAGCACTCCAAAATACAAGCGAAATGTGCTCATGTCCCCTGGGCATCCTATAATACTCCTTAAATTGAATTAATTCAATATGGCCACCGTATTGGTAAAAAGGTCTACTAGTACCCTTATTTTATTCGGCTGCTGATAATAATAATGTTATTGAGGACAATCACCTGTCTTTTTCCTTCAATTCCCAATTTATTTTTGTGCATGCTTCAGAGCAGGTATGTCAATGCCAGAAATTTCAAACCCATTGAATTTATTGGGTGGCAACAAGCTACATTAAACTTCAAGGACACTTTGGAGGATTCTTGCTGATCTCAGCAAGACTGTTCTTTGAAGTGCAGTGCCAACTCAATCCCAGAATTATTTATGTTTTTTCAGTTAAACCTCCAGGTCTTCAGAATAGTACCAAGTGCTCCAAAACAAAAGGGGCAACTTTTACACCTGCATCTTCCACAAGTAGTATCTTCATGCCAGATGAAGATACTAAGTCTTGTTGACTATATTTGTTGTTGATCTCTTGTTCGATGTCCACCCTTTTGTCACAAGGACATGCAGTATCAGTGATGAGGCAATTTTTGTTCTGTTGGTCCACACACACGATGTCAAGGCGATTGTGATCCAGTTTCATTTCTGTTAATATACAGAAATCCGAAAGAAATTTGAAAGTCGTATTATCCTTAACATCACATTATTATTATCATTATTATTGTTGTGTGTGGTTGATGATGTTATTATAAGCATGGGTAGTAAAGAGGTTCATACACATGTACAAAAATAAACTACCTTAACCACTATTTTGGGCACTAATTTGTGGTTATTGCTCACTTTTTTCAATGACTGTGCTTTGCAGATTTTAGTAAAACAGATGAAGGTGCGAACAGATGGTTAAGGAGACCCTGCAGCAGCTAGATGCCAGCTCCTTGATTAATTCTTTCAAACCCCAGAGTTTAAGGAGATCCACCTACAAGCCAACCACCCTTTAGTTCACATGCATGGCCATTGTCGTTGATTAGCAGTGGAGTTAGTTGTCACACCAGTACATCCTCCTCCACTGCAGCCTCCCTCCCCACATTCTCCTTTACTGTAAGGAGTGGCGGTGATGATGAACATAGGATGGAGAATGGATGGATTACTCTCTAGTTGTTGCCATTGTTTGATTAAATTTAATATCTTCACTTTGAATTCTGTTTTAATTTTTGCAAAACTTGTTTTAGAAAAAATTGAAATGTTTTGAAATCACTCATTCTGAATATTTCAATCAACTTTGCAACTGTACCTTGTATATTTCTTTGAATGAATTGTCAACATGTTCGAACACTTTTTAGAGTTAGGTTTATCAACTGACACAATTCAACTTTGCACGTTTTCCTGTCAGGATTATCAAACTTTGTTCCTGTATTTGAACTTTAAAATAAATGATGTTACGCGATTTAAAACCTGTGTTTTTCCCTCTTGCGTTGGGCAGTTAGTTAAAGTGAATAAGATTGGGGCGGTGATAAAAATGGGAGAATGGTCGGAACTGTTAAAAATCATTTTCAGTATAATACTGCAACCCCACAAATAAGTCCCTGAAATGCAATGAAGTGCAATGCTGACCAGGAAACATATCGTGAGGTATCAATGGAGTGAAAAGGCGGTATCAGTTTTTTCGATATCATGCATGGAAATTGAAAGTATCGTCGAATTTAGTACAACAAACCTGTTGCAATTTTCGCGTATCAGGGAGTTTTGCTACGATTTCAACATCGGTAATTTCATGAACCGTGGAATTCCAGTGGTGTTTGAGTCCCTGGTATTTCACGTACCATGGAATTTCGGGGAAGTGAAAACACTCGAAACTTCACGTATCGTGGAATTTCATCGCATTCTACGGAATAGAATCTTCACGTGTCGTGAACGTTTGGAGTATAAATTAGCATAACACAATCCGTAGCGTGGAATTTTAGTGAAAATGAAAGGCAAAAATTGTAACGTTCGCCAACGGCACTCCCTGATTCTCGGCAAATCTAGAAAAATAAGGACGTTTACAGGTCTTGACACGCAGCGTTTCAATGACGTGTCCGGATATCGGATATTCCATGCCGCGGAAAAAGTTCGATTCAGGAAAAATACGGGTCCTGATACTCAATGTATACGCTGCGTGTCCAGAACCCGATACCTCTCCATACTTCCGTTTTTCTCAAGAATACGGGTTCGTATCGACTAATATCGGGACCATGACACAACTCATTTCACACAGTGTGGGCAGACGGCTAAAGTGAAACCGCTAACTGCAAACCGCGGTTTGCCGTTTGTGGTAAGATGGCCGAACCTCGATCTTGTAAGGTCTCTAATAAGACAAAGTAAAAACGCAAAAAGGGCCTGCATTTTGGCAATAGACCATCTCTGATTTCCAAAAAGTTTCCCTTTCAAAACGGGGCTCAGTGCAAAACCTTTCTTGTGAAAATGAGTTTTATTTGCACGAGAGTGGGTATCAATGGCTTTGCACTTAGCCTCGCTTTGAAACTGAGGCTTTGGACAACTTGGATAATGACACTTATGTATGATTACGTTAAATAAGCAAATTCACCACCAAGTTTGTAAGCAAAACTCTTCGCATTTGCACTCTTTGGGTGTCAATACCGTAAAATTGCGAAAATAAGCCCCCCCCCCCCCCAAACTCGTAACGCAATAAACCCTCCGTTAAATCGCCCCCCCGAATATAAGCCCCTTCCCCGGGGGGGCTTGTAATTGGAAATTGCCCTAAAACAAAGCAAAAACGGTAAATTTCCTTCCAACTAAAAGGCTAGCCCAATCGATTTTGAAACGTAATTTTCCCTCCGTAGATAAGCCCCTCTGAATATAAGCCCCTCATTAAGGGCCTTTGAAAAATATAAGCCCCAAGGTTTATTTTCGGAATTTTACGGTATTTTTTTCAACTGTTCTTCCTTGGGAATTTATTTATCCAAAAAGTAGCAACTTTTCAACTTCAAAACGAGGCTTGGTGGTGAAATTTGCTCGTCTGACGTAAACATGCATAAGGGTCATTGGCCATTTGTGAGGGTACGTTTCCGTTTTGATTTCATATTTATTTTGCCTTCCCTTTTAAGGTGGGCTGTTTATGTAAAGAAAAATAGAAGCTTTACTATGGAACTTCTTCCATTAAACGCCGCGCCCAGAGACAACCTTTTCGAGTTGTGCAGCAGCAACTTTGACGAAGAGGGAAACAAGGGCCTGGAGCACATCTTAACTGAAGTCTTGCTTTTTCCACCAATACACATATACTCCCCCTTTGTCTGGAAATACTTCAGTTAATTACACGAGAGTGATGGGGTGGTTGTTGCTAGACAGACAGTCAGCTAGCCAGCGTTGAACTACGTTATATTTATAACGGATAATTTAAATAGTTAAATACGAAACGTGCATTAAATGAGCAAGAGCTGATGGGACAAAACTGTCCTGTCGCTGATCAAGGTTATTCGCTTTTAAGTTTTATCGCGTTTTTTAACCTCGCTTTTTAAATATAGGCTACCTTTTCTGGAGTTTAGGTCAGTGTTACAGCCCTATCAAGTTTATACAAAGAAAGAAAAGTTCGAAGTTGGTCGTCTGAGTGGCAATAGGAAGTTTCATTTCGTAGTCGTGCTGTGACGGCAAGGAAATGTACTAAAAAGTAGCTTGCGCGTGCAGAGTTGTTGTTTTGCTTACTTAACTATTTTTTGATTTTGACGTTCTTGTTGCCGTCGTTGTTGTTTAACTGACCCTTTTCCAATCCACCAATCCCCGGTTCGTTGTCGCTAAAGATAAAAATAATATGTGAGTAAAAAGAATGTCAGTTTGCCGGGCGGGGTGGGGGAAAAAAGCTCTCGTTCTAGTGCCTAATTATTACGGCTTGGTACGGGTCGTACCAATCTCCACCCCCAGAGCTCTTCACTAGAGCCTTCAGTTCTTATGACTGTTAACTGTGTTGTTGGAACCTCGTGCAAAAGGTCCTCATTTCTCCTTGTGCCTAAAGAAGAGAGATAACGGAACGTTATAAAAGACGTCTCAGTTCATGCACAAATGAACCTGGTGCACTTTTTAGTAATTATTTTGCTACTTTCCAAGTATCAGGTGGTTTTTCTAACTGAGTAAAGGCAGGATGGCTTACCATCTGTCCTTTCTTCGCTACTCTGTGGGGCGACGATTGAATGGCCTGATCACTTAAGCACAAAAGGAAAAGGAAATTGCAAGTCAGCCTACCTCTGAAGAAAGGTCCACATACAGTTCACATTTAATTCACTAATTATTAAGGCCAAATTACCAGCTAGAGTATTGCATCAAAAGAAAAAAAAACTGAATGAAGATAATATTTGTTATGCATCGAGTCAAAATTTACCTTGGCTCAAGTTTATTTTTCTTTTACCAAGGAATTGTAAGAACTATGAAAATGAGTTTTTACAAAAGGAAAATATAATTTTAGATTAGGGGCACTTTGCCTTCTCCACGGAAAGCTTCAGGTTCCGTACTGAAGACTATTTAGTCTTTCGACTCAAACAAGCATATTCTCAACCAGCTTCCGAATGCGGCTTAATAGAAGAAAAGCTTTCTTCAGAGATTGTAGTCCTGGTTCAAAATGATTTAATGACACCGCAATCGTAAGAAATTTTTTTTATCCTAAGCAATTCCATCCTTGATGTAAATCAAAGAAGCTTTCTAAAGATTTGCCGCCAGCTTGATGGGAATTTGCATATGATCAGTATACTTCTGATTATAGAACGGTGCACAACCTGTAGTCTAGTATGTCATTCTGATTGCAGCGTAACTGTAGAGCCAACAAACCAATTATTACTTCGGCGGAGCGCGAAGTAAAGGATTGGCGATGCTCAGGAATGTATCAAAGTTGAAATTTTTTGACAAGATTGGGCAAGCAAAGTGTGTAGGTTTTCGGTTCTATTCGGCTATTTGACGAAGTGAGAGCCGAATTAGTTCGAGACATCTCGAGATCACTTCGATTTCTTTGATTTATTCTTTAACTTTTTCGAGGAAGAAAGAATTATTAGTTTGGCTTCCCCGGGGTTTGAACCGACTCACCGGTGTGACCTGTCAGATCAGAGGAGACTCTAAGTTGAGGGATTAGCTGATTGCGCTACTGCGACCTAGGGTAGTTTGGGATATGAAAAATAGTTATGAAATGGTGCACTAGTTTCGGGACAAGATTGGGCGTGCAAGTTCGTGACTTTTCGGCTTGTTTCAACTATTTCACGAAATGAAACCGGACTACTTCGTGATATCTTGAGATCACTTCCAGTTTAGTCTTTAATTACTCGAGGAATAGATAGAGGATATTTCGTGGCCGCGCAGGGAAAACATTTCACGAGTGAGCCCTCCTTTCGAACTGTTTTATGATGAATTTAAAGTTACAAAATGCTGCACAAAGACATTTTGTCTTTGTTAAGTGTTACGTAGTAAAATTGCTTTCAGGCGTTGCGTGACTTTCTCGAACGTTCTCTACGTTTTTGGATTATTCATGAATAATTAATTAAGGCATGTTTACATTTGAGCATGAGTCAGCAGATTTGCATCAGTGACTGAAATCATAAAATTTGTCGAAAAGCTACTACTATTCGCCTGTTTAGTATTTTCTAGAACCTTATGTCAAACGGTATACAAGTTTCAAGCGAGTTCTTTTGACGAACTAAGTTTTTTCCCACGAGCTGGACTGCTGTGTTTAGTCAGGTGTGACGAAGGTCGATTTTCAGGTTCTCTGTTTACAAGTTCGCGGAAGCCGTAAGAAATCTGAAGTTCAAGTGAGAGTTGGTTATTATTGGTAGAGGCTGTTTAGTTTTACTCAAAGTTCAAGTCAAGTTTGTGTTGGCGGATGCTGTGTTTTAAAGCTCTGTAAAGGCTGTTCCTTTGGTGTCAAACTTCCTTGTGTTAATCCGACATCCCTGCGTGCTGATAGTCAGTGAATAATTATCTTCAAAACATTCGAACTCGTGACTTTGAGTTTTAGCCAATTCCATGCGCAACGTAATTGACTCCTTACGCATGCCTTACATATCTTTAATCAGTACATGAGACTGCTATGCTGTTTTTGAAGCCTGATGTGACTAAGAAAAATAGAGAATTGTTTTTTTAGAAAGATTTGTATGGAGTCATCAGAGCATAACTGGGCTAATATC